TTAGCCGTGATAGATTGGGAGCTGATGCCCGGGTTTCTTCATGCTGTGTGACTGCCAGGGACATTTGACTTCCTGTGCTCGGGCTCCTTGAAATTCTCATTTGCGAACTCACACCCTGCTCCCTTCACACCAGGGCTCTTTTATTGCTTTATAACCGTCCTTAAACTTCCAGTCCTCAAAGATCTCATTGTGGCAGGCTTCACACTTTCTCCCTTTCCGAAGCCCTGTGCACTCACTGTTGGCAGCAGTTTGGTCACTTACAAAGGTCCCTCGGGTGCCCGGCGAACCTGCAGACCCTGGCACAGCTCTCCCAAGTTTTGAGATGAATGACTCAAAGCCGTTTTGCGGGGGAGCCTCACCAAAATGCCATAAACACCCAGGGAAGGGAGAAAAGGTTCCATCTTTCTGTTGGTTTGTTTGGGTTTTTTTTGTGGGTTTGTGTGTGTGTGTGTTTTCTTGTTTGTTTGTTTGTTTTGGTGGGACTTTTTTTTTCTTTCCTCCTAAAGAAAAGAGCTCCCCAAGAGCTATAAAGAAAGGTTTGGACGGGAACCCACAGAAAACACGCCCGGCTCCTTTCCCAAGAGCACTTTGGGAGCGATAAGTCCCCTTTGTAGCTTTTCCTAAAACACGCTCCTCAAAAAGGCCGGCATAACGCCATGCAGCTGAGCTTCCACCCATCCCCGCTATTTCGACCCGGTCCCGTTTTATAGGACAGATTCAGAGAACCTTTATTTAGCGAATAAAAGTTTAAAGCTGAAGGTTATTTATGGTTCCACAGAGATAAGTCCTGAGTGGCTATTTAGAAGCACGTGATTCCAATAAACTTTGTTTTATGGCTTGAGAGTTGACAAGCCAAAATATAATTCCCACCATAAATTAGTTTAAGAGCATACAAGTGCAGATGCTTTCGTTCCTGGAAGCAGTAATCGGGAAAGTGTTAGCAGGGAACCGTCGGCGGAATGCGACCGCGCAGGCACCTCTGCTCCCGGGTCCCGCAGGCCGCGGGGGGAGCGCACAGTAAGTCCGCTATCCGCCTCCCCTCCGCGGCCGCGCTCGGGCTCCCGCAGCCCAGCGCCTCGCTGCGAGCGGGGCAGCGCTGCGCCGGCAACGCGGCACGGCTCTGCCGGGGACACGGCAGGTACCGCTCAGGTGCTGCGCCGCGCCGGGATGAGCCCGCTGCTCTCTGAGATTTCGGAATTTAATGGGATTTCTTAATGGAGATAAGCTTTTTTTTTTTTTTTTTTTTTTTTTTTAAAGTAAAAACCATTTATTTTAATACAAATTGAAGATAAAAGGAAAGGCTCCTTAAGGGGGTGCTTAGTGCCAAAATGTTGATATTAATCCACTCTCCTCGCAGGCTATGAATGTTACCTAGACTGGGCAGAACCTAAAAAAAAAAAAAAATTAACAGGAAAGGTGTTGGGAAGCTCTATGCAGTGAACTACTGATACCGAGGCATTTGCCCTGTGTTTAATACAATAACTCGCCAAGATATCGTAGGAAGGCATACAGGAGATGAAAAGTCGCTTACAGAAAAGAACCCCCCACTAGTATTTACGTTCAAATATATGACGCGTTTCAGGATTACTAGACTAAGAGTGTGGATTTGTTTCCCTTATGTGACCTTTGGATACATTTAATAAAATATTTGAAGGAAATTTGAAGTCAAATCTATCCTTCTGTAATGCAAACAAAGGCGCATATCTCGTGGTTACTGATAGGTTGATTAGGTGATCCTAAAAGAGAACTATTTTGGAGTAACCCGATATTTATTCTAATAAAATTGTAGGTCTTTCTGTGTTTAGCAAGGATATAATGCTGCATGGCGTATTTTGTGGGTGATGGTTTGGCAAAGGTGATCTGAATGTGACTGGATTCCCACAGAACAAAAAAAAAAAAAAAAAAGGCCTTTGTTATTCTTTTCCATTAGTGAAAGAGGGAGGTCTGGCTCTTCATTTCTTTAGAAATTATCCGGTATAAAATTTAGACTATGAATATTAAAAGTGAAAGATCACACCCCAGGCACCGAGAAAGCGTGTATTCATAAAAAACTGCCTGAATGCAACGTGGTCCTCATTTGGAAGGGTCTTCCGTCCCACCACTCCTCTGCTTGCAGGATTTGCCACCAGCTCCTCTCTGCCTTCATCTATCAAACGTGGTTTGTAATTGTTCTCCAGAAATATCACCCGTATGTGGAATACAACAGTAACAAACGTTTTTATTGCAACAGGTTCTGCAGCATGGAAGAACATCCAGAGTAAGTAGCCTTTTATTTCTTGTGGAGTTTGTGTTATTCGAAAATCTTGGTTCTTCCCTCCAGACCTAAATAAACCCAAACTATGATTCCTGATGAATATTTCTTCTTTCTCCTCCCCCACCACCCCTCCCCTCCAAAAAAGAAAAAAAAAAATAAAAGAAAAAAAGAAAAAAAGGAGAAAGGACTATGTCAGCATGTGAAGGTTCTTGTGGAGTCAGTTTGTGGTACCATGTCATAATCCTGGCTAGCATTAAAAGCAGAGGTGCAGTCTCCTAGGGGTTTATTACAGGGCTGTACAGGTGTCGTCCTGCTTTTAAGCACTCCAAAGCAATTAGCAGCGTTTCCATTTTAACTCGGCGGGACTGTACAGCGCCTCCCTGTGCAGAATCCAGACGGATCACGTTGTATCCCAGCACCTCATAACCTTGGCTACTCCCACTCTTTTCTCCAGACGGGATCCCAAGCAGAGCTGTGCCTGCTTTCTGATGTTCCCTCGTTTGGCACAGGCTGGTGGCTGGGTGAAAGAGGCGGCAGGAGCTGGGGGCGGTCAGCTCTGGCAAGCCCGGGCAGCCCAGCTGCAGCCTGGTTCTGCGGGCAGCAGAGCTGATCTGCTGGTGCGAGAGGTCTCGGGGCAAGGGAGACTCCAATGTGGATTTAAATGCTGTGAAGGCACGGAACAGAATGGGTATCAGAGCTTAGCAGGGCAATCTTTTACCGTAGGGGTTTTCGCATCCCAGATGGTCCTGCCTGAGACCAGGGGGGACGGAGGGGAGGGCAGAAGATCAGTGTGCATCAGGAACTGCTGTTGAACCTTTCTGGCTCCAGTGAGGAGCTGAGTGCCTTGGTCCTGGTCCTCCAGGCTGAGACCGGCTTGTCTCTCAAAGAGGGAGGGAAAGACTGTGATATTTGGAGATTCATTAGGTTGTACATCGCCCTTCCCGTTTCTGCTAGCCCGGCTCTGACCCGGAGCATGTAAAGGAGAGGAGTGTTTGCCTGTGTGTTTGTTTGCATTTCCCCGCTTCCTCTCCCTGTTTCCTGATAAATAATCTATTTCACTATGTGTGCCAAGCTTCTCCTGGTCTTTTTGTCTTCCGTTGCAATATTGGTTTTCGAGTACTATAAATACGAACTAAAGAATCGCCTTCAGCGTTGCAATTTTAATTGTGTTCCATAGGTAACTTTCCTTCCCCCATAGCTCAGTCCTGCGCTACGTAGACGCCCTTGGCATTTTATTACAGGGTCGGCCCTAAATGTATGGATTACTTGTTTTCTGCCAACGTACATTTAGCATACTGATTATGAACCAGAATACAAAAAGCCTGATAGATCAAAAGTATTTTGTATGGGCAGTTGAACAGGAGGTGAATATATAACGCTTTTGTTCATCAATAACTCTTTGGCTTTGACCTGTCTGAGCAAGTCGTGCAATAAGGTGAAACGCAGGTCACAGCGTCTAACAAATATGAAAATGTGTAGTATTAAGCAGAACGGGGAGCTGCTGCTTCCCCAGCTCCGTCGCTGCTCCCTGGGCAGCCCTAGGCGGGCTTGTCCGCTCCCGGGGGCTGCCCCAAACGATAGCTCTCTTTGGGGGGCGGAGGGGAGTTACCCTGCCAGTTCAGCCGGGTGGTAAATAACCCCCGCGAGGGCGGGGGGGTGTCCCCTCTCCCCTCAGAGAAAGGATGCGAAAGCAGGGAGAGATGCTGAAAATAGCTGGGTAGGGATTTGAAGAATCCGTGGGGAGATTAAGGATATAAAGTCGTTTTGAGTTGCACTTGCTGTGAAGGAGGCACCGCCGCAGTGGTCAGAAAGCAGACGTTTGAAAATAGCATCTCCCAGCTCAGGCACTTGGGAGCTGGAGGCAGCCAAACAGCCCGGTACACATCGCTCGGATAAGCGCAACACCCCCAAATCTGCCCTCCGCAGTGGTTGGATGTATCACACCCGCACCATTATTTGTCCTTATGGTGCCTGTTTTAAATAGTGGAAGGAGAAGAGGTTGACCGCAGGACAGCAGTGAGGAGCTGGGTCAGACACAATTCATGAACTTTTGTACTCCTGTGTGCCGCTGTCGACAAAGTAAAAATAATGAAACTTTGTGATATGTTTGTAAATGATTTCGGCTGACCTCTCGCCCTGCCCTTCACCATAAACGCTACGGCAGGGAAAACCTGGGAGGGTGCGAGGCTAAGGCTCGCAGGCAGATCGCGGGGATAATAGCTAGACCAGCATAATAGGATGAAGGTAAATTTGGAAACTCTCTTTTTCCCGAGAGCAACTAACTCCAGCTTTTAATCTCATCTTTTTCACCAAACGCTGTTTCTGTTGTAGGCTGTTTTACTTCTGTTTCGATTTTTTAGAAATTCTTTTTTTTAATTTTTTTTTTTTTGGGGGGGAATTTCTAATTCTGGAGAATCTTTTCAGATTCGTGTTAGCCTAAATATTTAAAGACTCCTTACTAAATTACTTTAACCATTATTATTCTAAATAGCTCAATTTGACTGACCACGTCCATTTTCCATAGCGAGGACGTAAGTGGCAGAGAATATAAAGAAAGCGGCAGGTCTTTCTGAGAATTTGGTAGGCGAAATTCGTCTCTATGAATTGGTGGAGGGTCGTATAGCTCTATTGCAGCAAATAATAACAAGCGTGAATCTTTTCTGAAATCCCACCTTCCTGCAAATCTGTATTTCAGAACTGAGTCCCAGCAGAATAGTTTGCATTCCTCAGAAGACAGTAAGAGACTAAGAGAATTGCAAAGACCTGCTATATTGTAGATGAAAACAGAATGTTATTACGTTGTCTATATATACCCTGTAGAACCGAATTTGTGTGATATTCATATAGTCACAGATTCGATTCTAGGGGAATATATGGTCGATGCAAAAACTTCACCTTTCTGCAGATGGTTAGAAGTTAAAATACTGGCGGAATCAAGAGGCATGTGCGTGCTGAACACTCAGAAATTATAAAAGTTTTGCTGCCTCGCTCCTATTCGCTAGGTTTTAGGACGTTTCTTAAAACTTCGGTTGTCGTTCAGTCCTAACTGTCACTGACAATCTGTGAATTTAAGCAGTTAAATTCACCAGAACTTACAAAATTTCTGGGAAAAAAAAAAAAAAAGATATTATCTACCAATCAGTGAATGAGTCTTTTATAAGATACTCATAAATTAGCTAGATATGCCAGACGTTAGCAAAATTTCCCTGTCAAGGGTCCAGATCGCATCAAAATATTTACGACAGCAGCAAAAGCATCATTCGCCTCGCTGGAATGTATTTACTTGTGCTCCAGGAATGATATTGACGAATGAAGACCGAATTTATCTCATTAAACCCGTGATATTTTTAACCTAATTAAATGACGTCTCCAGTTCAATTGATTGAACTTTAGTGGTTAAAAGTGAACTCTTTCTTGCCATCTGTATGATTTTATGTACATACACGTATAGATTTATAAATATACCTTGGCGTTTGCGTCTGTGCACGCATACGTATGCACACGTATATTTTGAGGCTCGAAAGTGAATGAGAAGTTACTGATTGCCTAATTTTATTCAGCAGAACTAAATTCTGGTAACTTTTGGATGACCTCTGCTAGACAAAGACAGGACAGATCTATTGTACGTCATATTACCCTCGTCTTTGATGGCTTTTCTTTTGCTCGCCTGCTTATCAGTTTCTTCCCTTTTAACCCCGCTTCAGCTCATCGCTCTGTATATTCCTTTCGATTCTTTTTCTTATTTTATTTAAAGCGAGGTACCAAGCCCCGGTGGCGATCCTGGCTAGTAGATCGGACGGCAGGGCAGCATCCCCCGGGGCTGGGGGAAGCCGGCTCAGACAAAAGGCTGTGGGCAGGGCAGCGGCCGCCGCCCCGGGGTACCCCCACACCTCCGGTACCTGGTTTGCGGGTGCGGCCCGCCGGAGAGGGGGGTCATTCGGTTAGAGGGATGTTATTGAGTGGAATCGCTGGAAATGCGGGGAAATGCGGCGGTGGGCGCCCGGCTCCCCATTGGCCGGGCCGGTCACATGCCCGCCTAACTTTATTCAGTTGACAGCAAGTAGGAGGGCTCTATGGCAGGGGAAAAAAAGACAACACGAGAAAAATTAGTATTTTCTACCTTCAGAAATTAATGGCCATGAGTTCGTATATGGTGAACTCTAAGTATGTGGATCCCAAATTTCCTCCTTGCGAGGAATATTTGCAGAATAGCTACTTAGGCGAGCAGGGGGCCGAGTACTACAGTGCCTCGCAGGGCGCTGATTTCCAGCACCAGGGACTCTACCCACGGTCAAACTACAGCGAGCAGCCCTTTAGCTGTAGCAATGCCCAGGGCTCTGCCGGGCAGCCGCGGGGTCACGGACAGGAGCAATCCGGCCCGGCGAGCCACTTCCCCGGCCCAGCAGAGCATTGTCCACCGCCTCCAATGTCCAACTCGCGAGCCTGCAGCCAGCAGCCGGCCCTCAAACCCCCAAACGGCTCCGCAGTTAAGCAGCCAGCAGTAGTTTATCCCTGGATGAAGAAAGTCCATGTTAACTCGGGTAAGGATCCTCTTCTTACTTTGCTCTTCTACCCTGCTTCCGATCGTCCTCAGCGGCGCTCTGCCGAGTCCCTGCCAGGCTCGTGGGCGAGCTTTTTAAACCGAGGTGGCCAATTACACTCGCCATAAATTTTTATTGCTGAGGAAATAGGCCGTTGGCCATGCGGGGCTTTGCCGTGCAGGATAAAACTCCATTTTAGGAGCCTTCTAGAGGCTCCCAGCCTACCTAGCTGCGTGTGCCCGTAGTGCCTACCTCAAACGAGGGGGGAAAGCAGCCCGGCCATTGTAAGCAACTGGGACGAATCCAGCTCGGCCACATGCTCGCAGCTCGTAAGGTTTTCTTTTGTAAAGTCGGACCGGCAAGTCAAGATTAGCTTTGTAAAAGTTCTCCGTATTTTTTTCCCAGTGAATCCCAATTACAACGGAGGGGAACCTAAACGCTCCCGCACAGCTTACACCAGACAGCAAGTCCTAGAACTGGAAAAAGAATTTCATTTTAACAGGTACCTGACCAGGCGCCGCCGTATCGAGATAGCCCACACTTTGTGTCTCTCTGAGCGCCAGATCAAGATCTGGTTTCAGAACAGAAGAATGAAGTGGAAAAAAGATCACAAACTGCCCAACACGAAGGGCAGATCTTCTTCCTCTGGTTCAAACCCCCATTTACAAACTGGTTCCAAGGACCATCAGACTGACTTGACAACTTTGTAGAAGAGGTGAAATTTTCCATTTCATCCTTCGCTTCTGACCAGTACTGTACATAACTGACACTGCCCAAGCAGAACCTGCATGTAGCAGCTAAGGACACGAGAAACTGTCATCTTTCTTTAAGGTACTGTTGTACAAAGGAGACAAAATGACGCTGCTTTGGACTTTATTTTATTTGCCTCTGCTAGCACAACCTAAAAAAGGAAAACAAAACAAAACAAAACAAAACAAAACAAAAAAAAAAAAAAAAAAAAAAAAAAAAAAAAAAAAAGGAAAGAAAGAGAGAGGGAAAAACAAACAAACCATCATGCAGGCAGTGGGAATTGGGAAAATATTAAATGAGACCTTCTGTCCTTAAAAAAATAATAAATCATTGAAAATGAAACTGTCCTGTGTTTCAGTTTTGAATTCTAAAGTGAAGATTGGATGCTTTATTCTGGGATTTATACTTTTAATTGTCTTTTTATCCCATGCAATTTCGGGAGAATGCATTTTGGGCAAGTTGAGGACAGGAAATTCATAGCATAGTCTTTTATTCGAACATAAAGACTAGTAATTGTGAACTTTTTTTTTTTTTTTTTTTTTTTTTTTTTTGGTGCTGCTTTACCTTTCTCGGTGTAATGAAAATTCTTGCTCATTTCCATAACGTCTCAGAAAGTGTGCATAGAAATGAAGTGAAAACGGGTTATTTTATGTTCTGGTAATGTTAGTGTATTTATTTATTTGTTGCATAGAAGAATGAATACAAAAAGAAAAATAGTCAAACCAAAAAGGAGGAAGGGGAACTGAAATACAGTATTTTTCCTTCCCAGTCTCATGAACACATATGTAATGTTTACTTGTCTTGAACGTACACAACTTTCTTGTTCCCCCCCACCCTTTTTTTGAAATTTCCATCTTTGTGAATAGGAAAAGTGTCCCTGCTTCTTACCGTGTGCCATCCAGAGCTAACAGGCTTGAAATCTGTTTCCAAAGTCTGCTCTGTTCAGCGCTGTGCTTTAAACCATCGATACCTCATTTAAAAATGGAAAGAAAGAAAGAAAGAAAGAAAGAAAGAAAGAAAGAAAGAAAGAAAGAAAGAAAGAAAGAAAGAAAAAAGAAAGAGGCGAGACCACAAAAAATAATCCCACAAAAAACAACAGCAACCCAGACTGAAAAATTAATGTGATTTCTGATATAAACTGAGCCACTCAAAGCTGAAAGCTGAACACGTTATTTCAATCTGTTTTTAAATTTCTTTTCTGCTAGAGAGAGGTAGTCTATGTGGGTTGCTGATTTGTTTTGTTTTGGGTTTATATTGGGTTGTTTATGGCTTTGGTTTGTTTGGTTTTTAGGTTTGGGTGTTTTTTTTAAGATTGGGTAGGGTTTTTTCTTTTTTTGTTTTGGTGGGGTTTTTCTGGTTTTGGTGTTTTTGGAGGGTTTTTTTGTTTGTCTGAGGTTTTTTTTTAAATTTTTTTTTTTTTTTTTAAGAGCAGTGATTGTTTTTAAGCAAACCATGACACATGACTGCAATGGCTGGAAATCTCAGCAAGTTGTTTTCAGGAAAGATGAAAGGCTTGGATGGGAGCAGAGCTGGTCTAATACCCACGAATTTGTCCCTGCCTGCTGGTTGTCAAAGTTTTAGTGCGCTGTAACTACCAAACCAAGCCAAACCAGCTCCCTGAGCCACTTACACCTCTGCTCAGGCGGTTTTAAAGCTCAGCCCTTATCTCCTTTACCCTCAGGGCAGCCTAGGAAAGGGACCACATAGCCAAAATTGTAACGGGGTGATCCCTTTATTAAAGAAAAAAGTGGCGGAGAAGGAAACTCAGCAAACACTGAAGGGAGGTGGAAAGAGCAGGGGGTGAGTTAACGTGCCCTTCTCCAGGCTGGATGCTTCCCACTGAGAACTCACGGCTCTCTGGGCTCGCTCGGGAAAACACTGGCCAAAATGGGCTTGAATTAATTCGAAAATAAAAGGCGAGCTTTTCAACAAGAGTGTATTCGGCAACGTTAACTGTGGCCAGCAGTTAATTTCTGCCCTTTTCTCATCCCTTGAAGTCCGCAAAGTGTCTTTAAGACTTGGCCTTTTGTTTTAGAGCCTGGAGAAAACTCTTTGTTCTTCCTTAGGGTTAGCCCAGTTCTCAGACTTGCACATGGCAATACTTGAATATCTCCACGTCGTGATATTAAAGATGGATATTCCCGCATTATTCGCATCATTGTTTCTATGACAAAAAGCACCGAGTTCATACATAGTAAAGACGTCTTTTTTCTGACGCCTTCACGTTGAGAAGCTGAAAAGGTATTTTACTGAAGTTCGGCTAAATTGCAGGAACAGGTTCACCCAGAGGACAAATTTTCTATTCGATTAGTTGTATTTCAGCCGGGAAGAGTGACCTCTAAACCCTTAACCTTTTGGACCCAAACTACCCTTCCCTTTCTCTAGCATGGAGAGCAGCTAGCAGCAGCGCTTGAGGAGGGAATTCCTGAGACAAGTTTGCAAGTTTTGTTACACTAGGTTCCTGCACTAGTGGCCTTTCCTCTCCAGAGCTGCTCAAAGCCATCCTTTTGCTCTTCATACGTATCTATTAAAATAAAGAAGAAAAAGGGGTGTGGGGAAATAAAATCCCTCTAGCTGCCCTTCTTGAAAATGCTCCTCCCGGACCCCCGCTGTTTTCCTAAAGTCCCATAAGTTGGCTGCGAGCAGGGCAAAAGTGTTATTTGAGAGAGAGCTACCAACTTTGGCATCTGTGGTACAGTCCTGGAAAATACTGGCCTGGGATAAGCAAATCCTTGCTTTGTGCTTCTAATCAACCGACATGGCTCCCGAAGTTAAAGGACCAACTTCTGCTCCCAGATTTCCTTCCCCCGCCCACTGAAGTCAAACAGGCATGTAGCTGCGAGCAGAATTTGTCTCATTGTCTTTTGAAATGTTAATAACTCCAGGACGAGTGTTGGCTTCAGCAGGCACAGCTCTCACAACCCTGTTTGCACGTCCCCTTTGAGCGAGGCTGGAGCACTATAGGTTCACATAGGTGTGATTGCACCGTGAGACAGGAGAATATGTGAAGTGGAGGCAGAGAGTACCAAACAGAAACAGCTTCCAGCTGCCATTGCTCTGAATGGTCAGGAATGTCTGTAATAATGACCAGTAGCACCCACTGGTCGTTATCTCCCATGCAAAACGAACCCGAGGTGTATTTTTGGATTTTTTTTTCAATGGTTGTAACCCTCCTCCAGAGTTATTTTTTGTATGAAGGGAAGCTGATTATTTTTGTTTATCCCGGGTAAAGGTTGTGTACTGGAGCCTTTGTTAAACGGTCGCATTGTCCAGCGCTGCTCTCATCTCTGTTAAAGTGTGATGCTTTTTATAGACTTTGCTGATGTTTTGCTGCCATTGATTAAAGCGTTATTTATACTAACTGTCGCCTGTAGTTTTGATGTAAGCCCTCCACATACTTCTGAAATAATAAAAGGTGTAGCGAAATAGATTCTGGTTTGTACCTTGAACAATCAGTCTTTACAAGGTGGGTCTCTCTTCTGTGAAAATGCTGGTCCCTCCCTTCATTACAGTGTTAAAAAATGAGTGACTCGGCATAGCATCCTTCCAAATGTCCCTTTGAACAGGTTTGCTGTTTGCCTCAGCCATAATGGTGTGACTCTAGGCCAAGCTGGAGTCTATATTTACTTTTGGGCTGCAGTTAAAAGTGCCTGTCATACATTTGCTGCTGCTTTGCATTTAACAAGCCCTCCTAGAATGACTCCTGGATTTCTGCATGTGTGGTAGGAGGCAAGGAGCCACACCTGAAGTCACCTCGATGCCCACACAGATGTGTGTCTTTTAGGTGAGTCCTAGAAAGAATCAATTAAATAAAGAAATGGGAATTCGAAATTGCAATGCAGAGAGTAGTTTTTCCTGAGCAGTAACTCTCACTTTGACAGCGGATACAAAAGAAAGATCACAAGAAAACACAACCTGGAGACTTCAAACTTTGCCATGCACCTACGGCAAGCACATTTTTTTTTTTTTCTTCCCAGCGTAAGTATCTCAGACGATAACACAGCCAGGAGAAGTCGATTGCACTATTTTTGTCATAAGTACTTGTCAGTGAGGGCTTGTCCTCTCCTGGAGCGTGGTCAAGGCACGAGTCCAAAAATACAGTCTGTGGCTCAGCCCGGGCAGGGAGCAGGGTGCCCAGCAGAAACCATGTGCCCTTACTGCCCAAGTGCGCCGAGGGGAGGCTGGGGCTGCCTTTCTAAGCACACACTCGCTAAGTTTAAATATTGAGGCATATCTTGTGATTATACTTTCTCTCTCTGCTGTTTAATGGCTCCTCCTGTTACTCCCGATACATCAATACAGTTCTGTATATTATATCACCACTAGTCGTTAAGGTAAGAATGAAGAGGAAAGGCAGAGTCAATAGCAAACCCCACTCACTGTACAGTACAGTAAATAGGGACCTCTCGGTGCAGAGCCACACCGCTTCCAACGGCCATGTTTGTTAGCCCTTTCCCCTGATTCTTTTTTCCTTTTTTTTTTTTTTTTTTTTTTTTTCTCCTTCCCCCCAAGCCTAGAGACCAAAATAATCTTGCTAGGAACAGTCATAACAGGCAGAATTTCAAAGTGCAAGGAAGATGATAAGAATAGATTTCTACAAGTCCTGACCACGTGATTTGCGAAATAATTAATTCAGCACGTCCCTTAAGAAACACGGAGTCGTCATTAATCTGCCAAGCAAAGGACTCTATCAGACTTGAAAACTGAAGAGATCCCAAGAATATAATATACAAAGGGTGCCGTCCCTCTCCCTGCACACCTAGCTCTTGGGTAGCTGCTGAAAAAGAGACGCCCGGTACGTAAATATTTTTTACTTTTATTCCTCCTTATTTAAGCCTTAATGAACTCAGCTGTCAAACACTTGACAAATAGGGCACGCTGCTTCCTGATTTCCAGCGCGGCAGCGGCCGGGAACCGGACCGGGCGCAAGCGATGACCTTTGCTTCCCAGGGAGCGGGGGAAAGAGGACGAGCGCGGAGCGCCGCGGAGCTCCGCGGAGCAGGGAGGCTGATGGCCGGACCGCCTCCCGGAGCGGCGGCTCGGCCGCGGCTGCCTGCGCGGCGGGGCGCGGAGCGGAGCGGAGGAAACAATGCGGCTGTCAGTGCAGCCGCTGCCCGCTCCCAGCGGCGGGGAAAGGCCCTCGGCTCCTTCGCCAGCGGGCTCGTAAATTTTGCCGTGGGTCTTTGACAGCGGGGCCGGAGC